TGATAATGAGCTAAAATTTAAAAACAGGTGCTACAAGTTACACGCGATGTGGTTTTATGGTCGTCTTGGAACGGAGCAAAAACAAACCAGACTTGCTTGATTTATTATACGAGTTGAATAATTGTGAAAAATAATATCGATGTCACATTGCAGCGTGCGTGGCAGTGTATTACACCCCTCCATCCGTGACATTACCTATATACGACATAGTACATCTATTCTGCTATTCGTAAAACAAAAAGGCTGCCGATATCGACTCATCACGTCCATATTTGTTAACAGTTTAGTATTTAGCGGTTGTACAGTGAAAATTTAAGAAACGCAAGGCGTGGCCTATCATGATCATGCCCGTTGCTTCGTGATTGGTTCTTTGGCATTCTGATCGGCTAATGCCGCGATCTGACTGGCTGCCGAGCGATTAAAGGATGCACGCGTGATTCCTCACGACCCCGCGTTCTTTAAAGAAGCCATGAAATGAATTTAGGGCTTGGATAAATTATTCAAAATTGTTATTTTACTAATCGCAAATCGTTTAGTGGGCCAAAAGAAAGAAAAAGACAAAAGCCTGCTTTTTGGTACGAAAATTTGAAAATATAGCTGACTATTTCGTACCTCCTTTTCCCTCGGAAGCTCTCCGCCTTTTCGCTGTGACACATCCAGACCTGTACGTAACGTGTTACAAGTAATGGATTACTTGCAATCGATTGCATTATACTGTAATTTTGTAACGCTTCAATTACTCCCTTTTAGGAGTAACGATCATTGTAATTGAATTACTTGTTTGCTGTAATCGATGGCAAAAGTACCCCCATTACAAATTTTCTCTCTCTCTCTCTATATATATATATATATATATATATATATAATGAGAGAGGGAGGGGTGATGGGTTTGATGTGCTGGAGTCACTCAGCTCTGGGCAACGGTCAATTCTTTTTTTTTTTTTCTTTTTCGGAACAACTGAGCGCGAGACCCCAAGGATTATGCTACCGTAATAAAAAGTTCAATGAAAAGTAACGCGGGAAGTAATCGATTACTTTAGAGCAATTTTTCGATTACTCTTTTGAAGCTGTAATTGTAATCGGTTACTTTTTTACAGTGAAGTAATTGTAATCGTAATCGGTTACTTTTTTTCAGTAACGTGTACAAGTCTGGCTGCGGTACTCAAAGCACATCAGTCCAAAGTTTCTCCATGTGTGTATATAAGTACTCTTGCCGTCATTTAACCTAACTGCACTTCACAAGAGGCTTGCTTGTGTGTATTGAAGTAATGTTTGGCGAATACACACAAGCAAGACCCCCCTCCCCTCCCCTACACCCCCCCCCCTTCCCCCGCTGTAAAGCCGAAAGGCGCTGCGGGTATTGGATAAATAAATTAATAATAAGTAAATGTGTTTGCGTCTTGCAAGTAGCGCCGAAGGCGCCAGTGCACGCGTCTCGAACGGCCCTTGGAAGCAAATGGCAGCGCAGCACTGAAATGAGCGACCCTTGGAAGCGAATGGCGGCGAAGCACCCGCTCGTGGCACGTGTCTTGCGCGTTTCCACAACGCATTGGACACGAGTACTGCGTCATTCGAACGTGTGCGTTCGTCAACAATCAATCCGTCGACGAATATTTGGATTCGTGTTCGCGACCAATGAGTGCCGTGACGGCACTTATCATCACTTGCCAATGACAAGTTCCACGGTGTGCTTAAAACGTACGGTGGAAGCTTGGAGTCATATCTCATTTGGCAAAATACTACGTCACGAACACGTGATTTTTTTCGTTTCGCTTTTGAGCTGAGCAGGAAAGCTAAGGAGGAAGAAGTTGAAAAATGATGTCATGGGCCCTTTAAGTTGTGAGTGGCTCTAATAAGTAACGCCCTTGCGGAACCAAACGCCAGAATCGGCAAATTTATCGGTCCACGGTCGCTGAAGAATGAAGCAGAGTGAAGGACCCCGAAACGCAGTCCGATTTATATATAGAACGTCATGTAGGTAGAATATCAATTGCTGTCCGGTTACGTTTCCTCGTGCACTTGGGAAATTGTGCGAACATTGCTCGCACACGCGCGTAAAAATAACCGCAGCGGCTGGGGCTTTCTGGCAGCCATTCTTCACAACCAAACACACACATACACACGCACAAAAAATAACTTATTTTGCGCTTTGTTTGAAGCGCCCCACCAAAAAAAGGAAATGCGAAATTTCAACGTTCTGATTTTTCCCCCCTGCTGTTATTTCTCGCTAGGCCCGTCTAAAAAGGCTCCGTGCGCGGTCCCGGGCAGCAGACGAAACACGAAATAGCACTTGGAAGCGTGAGGTACCAGCCGGAAAGCCTGGCGCGATTGAGAGTAATAACACCTTTTAAACAAACTGCAATAAAAAAAGAAAAGAAAATTGAGTGTTCAGCATGAGTATAAGCGCCCCATTGAAAACTGGGAGGGAACCGAAAAGTTATAGAAAGAAAGAAAAATTCACGGGTGTCTTGAAGCAATGATGCACCGGTAGAATACACAAAAAAAATAACATTTCGACTCAGTAGGAATTCAATTAAAAAGAAGGAAAAAAAAGTGATCCACTGTTTTTTTTAACCCAGTTCTTTTTTTTTTTATTGTTGTTAATTACCCATTGACACTCCTGCGATAAACTCG